AGACTGTTGGTAGTTAAGTAATTTATTATGGTTGGTGGGAAGATGATGTATGGTGGGTGTTCACTGTTGGTAGGTGKGTAATGTTAGCTGTCGGTTGATGGATATGGCAATTGATGAACTCGTGTACAAGTTGATGATTAGTGAGTGATTGGTGATGATTAGTGGGAGGWTGAGGATTGTTAATGGGTAATAGTGTTGTTAGTTGATATCACTTAACAGTATTTATTGGGCATACAGGGTCAAAGCTCTAGAGGTCATGGATGACATCTTCTCAGATCAAGACAAAAAGCGTCTTTTACTTGTCTCAGTTTCATCTGATGGSGATCTTCGTGCTTGGTCTTTAAACCAGGAAAACGTACGTCACATTTACCTCATTTAAGTCTCCTGTATCGTGCRGGATGTTCATCAGCTGAATCTCAAATTTTCACTAGAATTCTTTCKTTCTGACAGCACATGGTGGTCAGTGTGTGTGACCACCATTTGGAGCGAATACTGTTATTCAAATAATCTTTTTTCAGYCAATTGAAATCAAGCATTAGCCTTTGCTAAGGTAACCTTTACCCTATCAAAACTTATTGTTGCAGTTTGAAGAAGAAGGGCAGCTCGTCGCACGCTATGARATGAATGGAAGACCAACCTGTTTGTCGATATCCTGTCCAAAACGCSTAAACACAAAACCTCTTCTAGAGAAGATGGAAGAAAAAGAAACAAAAGAGAAGAAWGAGCACGAATCAAGAAATAAAGATAACAGTGAAAGAAGAACAACTAGACAATCAGGTACCAATACAGGCTTTTAACGYGCTACTCTTGGTGTTAACAAATGTTGCCACTCCTTGCGCGACACTGAATTTGCGTTGTTGCGCAAAGTAGAAAAATCTAATAAGAATAAATAAACTCTCCACTTTTTGCAACGATGAAAATTTATTGCACGCAAGTGGTAATACGAGCAATATTTGCTCTTAAACTTGCAAAGCAACAYTGTTGAGCGACAAGTTACGCATTTTGTTTCCCGTATTACCGCATTTCATATGCTTCGCGGTCCTTGAGTCTTGCTCTTATCTTTTATGTTGACAGCTGTTTCCTGCCTTTCTTTATGAGAGGATAGAGAAAACTGCTACTATCAGTATTCTGAAATGAGTGTTGATTTGATATTCAGGCGATGAACCGACAACGAAGAAGGCGAAAAAGAAGAAGAAAACACCGAAAAAGAAGAAGAAGCAACAGGAGCAAATTAAAGACGAAGAGGAATCTCCCACGAAAACAAACGAGGAAGCGAGTGAAGCTATGAGTCCAGACGATGAACAAGATGAAGAACAAACAATGGAAGAATAGAATAGAATTGTAAACACGTTCGTGAAGGAAGAAAGGAGCCGAATTCCAGTTTCCATGTTACTCCTTCATGGCTCTTTGACTCTAAGATCTTATTTATCAGCAGGATGGAAGCTCATTCAAGCACCACAAAGTAGACAAGATGTTTTAGTCGTCCCATCTCTGATGATGCCGACAAGAAATTAACGTCTGAAATTACGATGCCCCCCCTCCTAGAGCAATTGTCGGGGGGGGGGGGGGGAGATGATGGGTGTATTGTAAGGATGACATTAATGCATGGATGGTGGTCCCCCAGGGGATGATTTCACCCTTGCATTGAAATGTCTCTTGTCATATTTGTTTCCCATTTCCCATTTATCTGAATATATACATATTAGTTTTGCTTTCTATTTCAATTCGAGTTTGTGGTGTTTATATCAATGCACACTCTTTGCTCTCGCTCTATCGAACAAAAAAACAACTTTCATGTATGTGAAATCCAGTTAGAAGGATATTTCGAGTGTCTCTTTTAGTGGCTGAAAAAAAATTTTGAGGTCGGAATCATTTGTGCACATGCATAACAACCATATCCCTCGCTTATGTTCGATCAAATAATTTTTGTGTTCGACTTTATATACGCAKTCMAATTCGGTGTAATAATTCTCGTGATGGGAATCATTTGCGCACATGCCGAACCGCCATATCCTTGTTCGATCAAATAATTTTTATGTTCAACTTTATATGCGCAGTCAAATTCGGTGGAATAGTTCTCGTGATGGGAATCATTTGCGCACATGCCAAACCGCCATATCCTTGTTCGATCAAATAATTTTTATGTTCAACTTTATATATGCAGTCCAATTCGGTGGAATAGTTCTCGTGATGGGAATCATTTGCGCACAACCTTCATTCTATCTAAAGATTTATTCAAATTACTTTTAAAAACTTCAGAAAACGCATTTATAACATGACTCTTTATAAGATAAGAATTCTTTTATTTACATAAAGGCCTTAAATGTATTTTGGTAAAAGATGTTGATATTTTAGTTGATTCTTATGATACATTCTATGCACCATGTTATTYTTAATCAGGCAATCGTTTTATATTGTGGAGATACTTGTTCACACGGGTCACTCACCCTTTCGAATGCGGCCTTAATGTCAGGACTACGAGAAACGAGAAAATCCTTGAATTTTTCCGATATCTCTTCACATCGTAACTTTTGTGAAGTGTGGAGTATTGACAGTGAGAAGGGGAAGGGGTCACCAACCCATGAGAACCRTTTAATGCCAATCTTTGGTACCAACATAAAGACTATATATTGTATATTCATAAATGATKGAGCAATAAATTCGAATGCGCGCAGCTTTTTACATGATTTTTCAATTACGTAACACGTCAATTTGCGTCAGTTAACCGGTTACCCGCGCGAACATGAACATTCTTGTGTACAATTCGAGCTGGTAGATTCTGATGTATGCATCATGGCGCTAGATGATGCTGATGATGCAATGTCTCTACGTGAAATCATGTCCAGAGAACTGATAGTCTGATCGTAATGAGAATTAAGTAGAGAACATTGTCTGTCTGCCATATCACACTCTCGACACATAGGGAAACAGCTGCCCACTAAGGAATGGTGGCCCATGTGAGGCATGTTGGCGATTTTCTGGTGTCGTCTCCACTTCGCTCTGCGGTTGGAAAACCACACCTAAAAAGCGAACGAAAAAAAAAAAGATTAATATTCGATGTTCATGATTGTCACTTTAGTTCTAGCTGATTTCTGTTATTTAAGAATTCCTTCTTTGCAATCCTTAAATTAAATCGTATTTTTTAGGAAACTCTCAATTTGCTACCAATTTCTTACTTCCCAACCATTATCCTCTCTTCATTTACCTGTGCGTATTCTAGTCTGTTGCTCTGATTTGTTGGTTTTGTATTCATTTTAGATTTCTACCCAGCCTTTCATTTCTCATTTCCCATCTCTTAACCGTATCACATTTATGTCTCTAGTCAAACAACCCTTGCGGTRTGGCTTTATCCCATTTTTTTCCATTTCTCATTCCCATTCTATCTATTTCATTTACCTGTACTCTAGCCTCGGACATATCGATTTTATTGGCCAGGTCTTCCCGCGTTGCAACATCCGGGTAATGAGATTTTTCGAATTCCTTCTCAAGCATTTCCAGTTGATCAGGGCTGAATGTCGTTCTATTTCGTCGCAGTTTTCGTTTCTGATTGGCTTGAATATCGTCACTTTTGATTCGCTCGTCGTCACTGCTGACGTCATGAATGGAAACACTGTCACTTGTACTGGCAACGTCGACTTTGATATGATCTTCGTCGTCATGGTGATGGAAGTCGGTTACGTCTATTGTAAGGCGTTCTTCTGTTTGACTAATCACTGATGATGCTTTGTCATGGCGCTCCGTGCTCTCTTCAGCCGTTGTTTCTTCTAGAAATATAAAAGTAACAAGTTGGTATGAGTATAGAAACTTAACGACATTTTTAATAAACATGTTGAGGTGTCTTAAGCCATCTTCAGTAAGAAATAGTGAGGGTATTCACATCTGGTATCAGTAACAAAATAAAACAATAGATAAATAAAAACATGTTTTTACCGAAGCAAATTTAACGAACGTGTAACAGCTAGGAGTCAATTAACGTATCACTTTTCCATCGTAAACATCAAAATAAGTGGTCAAAATGTTATAGTAAAATCAGTACTAACAGGAAATAATGGAAAAACTATAAATATTATTCTAGTATTATCATAGTAATGCAGTATTGAGAACACTGTTTGGTTTGGTAGTTTTAATGCATCGTGGTGTACCATCGCACACCACGACTTTCATTATCAACTCATGTTTAAAATTAAGYTAGTTGATATGGCCTGGTGTAAAGACTACGACACTAAAAAACTGTCATTTCATACCCTTTGATTGTGTCACTTTATGATCATCTACTCCTACTCTAGTGCTTCCATAGTCTGAGGACTTTGACATGATTTCATCAGAATAAGCATCAGCAAGTATTTTCCTCTCTARTTCCGCCTGCTGCACGAGTCTTTCCTCATCTTCAGAAGCTGAGTGATGATACGTAGGATAGCTCCACTGGATTTGGGAATCAGACATGGGTGTCCATGGATGCAGGCCATACAAGCTTGCAAGATGTTGACGCTCCCTTTCCAGCATGGCGAACTGTGCAGCTCTTTCTGCTGCTTTGTTCCTGAGTATCCGATTGATTGAACTGACACTAGGGGTATTTTCACGATCACAGATACCCTCCTCGACCAGACGATCCCTGATTTCCCAAGCGAAGATGGTAGGATTTTGTTGCTTGTATTGTAAGATTTTCGACACAACTGGAGGCGTTGCCACCTTGGGTTTGCTGCCTCCGATGGAACCAGGTCGAATGGAACCAGTTTCATAATATCTGCCAAGAATCTTGCTAACGCAACCATGGGACACAAGCAGTCGGCGAGAGATCTCACACGGACGAACACCGTACGTTGCCAACTGGATGATGCGGTGACGAATGTAATCAGGAAGAGGTCGACCATTAACGAATGCTCCACCGAGCTGGTTCATGCCACCATGGTTCTGGAATTGTAAATGAAATGGACCTGCAGGAACTAAATAAAGAGAAAGAAAAGAAAAAATGCGGTTAGAATATATGAAATAATACCTCAAATAATTGACTCAGTAATTTCTGTATTATTTGTTTCCAGTAAAGAAGAACGACTTCATATCATTCTTTATTCTGTGACACTGACAAACTCCTTTTCTCTAGACACGATCATGCGGTCTCATATGAATCATTTAGTGAGTAAGACTTCACAAGGACGAAAAAACGACAAAAATTAACCCTTCCCTCTATCAAAACAACATATTAAAAATCTAAAAACACTAAGTCTTTAGTAATAAAACCCGCCTGTCACCAAAGATAGTGATCCTAAAAATAAAAATTTCTCAAGGATAAAAAATATTTTTTACGATAAATGTTGGTGCCGAATTTTGTCAAATAATTTTCCTGTTGYGTTAAATTTTATTGGGGAATTACTGTAAGAATTTTATTGTCTGAACATACGGTGTCGCACTTGTGATTTGATCACTTAACTGAGCTAATATTAAGAATATTCTCATAATGATATTGTTTTGATAGTGTTAATGAGGTTGTATTTTGTTGACTACGAAGTCAGAATGCTTAATTTTGATCTGAAGATAAATTTTTTTATCTTTTTGAAGTTTCTTTATTGAGTCTTGTGACTCTATCAATCGAGTCAAATGGCTTAAAGGGGAAACGCTTTTTGTGTGTGTTGAATATAAAGTTTGAAGTCTTATGTTCATTAGAAAACTTACTCTTCAAATGACCGAATTGTAAAGGCGGGTTGAAAAAGAGCTACACAAGACAATGGTTTCTTTGTGGAATGTTTCTTGTCTGTCGGCGTAAAGTGCATGGTTACTAGGCAACTCGAAATCATGCGGACAATTGTAATCCGTGCACTAGGGCGTGTGGTTTGTGTGTTACTGCGAATCTTTTAACAATAATGAGCCCCTCAACCAGTCCAAACTTGAATGGCCAATCTATACTAATCCTTGTTTTCATTTTGGTTCAAAATGATCTAGTAGTTGAATTTAGAGGTTTTTTTCATCCTTGAGGGTTTAGGTTGAGAAAGGATAATGACCCAGAAGTGTATATATGAACACATTGACCTGATGTGTAAAGTGAGTGTAAAAAAGAGCCATGCATCATTTTGGTTGAGTTGATTAGGATTCTCTTTAGAGGCTAATTACCAAGCCTTTTAAGAACAAAACACTATTAAAAACTCAATTTTTTATCGCCTTGAATCCAATTGATGTAAATCAAGCTCCTTTGGCTTGCGTAAGTTTTGCCTTAATTACTAATACAAATCTAACAAACTCTGTAAAAAAAAAACAAAAAACACAAGGACCTAGCTGAATGAACAAAAAAATATACACATAGTTTGCCTCAATTCTAATTTTAAATACGAAATCATAATTTACTTAATATCATTCATTTTAAGATAATCGTCTGGATAACTGTAATTAAGCCATTCAGAAGAGTTGATTCTAGCTGTCTTGCGTTTTTGTCTTCGKTGTGAAATTTCGAAACGAACTTGATCGTCGGGGAATAGTTTTGGTCGAATGCAATGGAAATGTARTCAAATGTGTTTCATTTTAAATGATACTTTTAACCATTTTTTAAGAACTAGTCTGTCACTTTTTTGTTTTTGTTTTTGATTCATTTATTTATATGGCCTTGTTATCTATACCACTAATTAATGTCATTTTTACTAAGTTTATCAGGATTGATTCGAGAAAGCCAAACATAACTGGGGTTGGTCTGCTGTGTTCTTTTAAACGCAGATATTCGAGTGTTTTTTTCGCTTTGCCTTGTTTACCAGAAGTAAGACTAGAAGAACAGCGTAAGAAAACGTCAGGCAGTAGTGTCGAGTAAAAACAAAATTTTTGATGTTTTTTTCGCAAGATTTACTTTAAAGGTTCGTAGAAACTGGCCGACATGCTACCATGTTTGATAGACAAATTTCTATTTTTTCGAATTGTATTTTCTTCTGATCCAAGCCACTAGCTATACTTCACAAATACACTAAGGAATAAGCTGAATTGATTTTTTTTTTCTGGTTGCATGTTTTTCTGCGAAAATCAATGTCGTCTACACTTAGTTGACAATGAAGAAACGTCTTTTCAAATGACCAGCCCAAAAAAGATGACTAAGTAAATCAAATCCTCAGCAACAAATTGAATATCTACCCAACACCAAAAGACTAGCAGTTAAACAACGTATCTAAACTGCCCTAAAGGCTATTTACACCCTTTTAATTGGTGAAACATCGATACAACATTTAGATAAGAGAAGATGATACAACAGTTGAAATGACTGCTGTCTAGAAGAAGAGGATGGCGATGACTCACGCTGTGAGAAACAAAAYGTCGATATCTAAGACCCAACCGCAAGTTTCCAGCAACTTAGAAAACTCCGAATTGAAAAGCAATTGTTTCAGTACATCTTTGCAATGATAAAATCTAGTTATGCAACGAAGTAGAACCTAAGTTYGCTGCAGAGATTCGAGATTCTATATTTAACGAATAACAAACATAGCAAATCCTCATTTCTGGATGTTTTCTTTATCATACTCATGGGTGTGATACTGACGCGTTTTGATATAAGACTGCTTTGCAGGCAGAGGTAAACTCTGCATTTGCTTATAAAAAAGTACGAGTTATAAATGCGAGCTAAAATATTTAAAATATAGTTAAAGTAGAGTGAGGTAATGGTGACCTACATTGGTGTGTCATGTTGGGAGTGTCTACCAAGAATAGCTCTTCCAAATGTGTCCGTAGAAAATATATTCTTGAATTTTCCCTGAAAAAAAGAAAGAAAGAAAGAARAAAATCAGAAAACAGGTTGCGATTGAGCATATTCAAAAACGGGTTAAGAGAATTGATAAGTTTATAATAAGGATCTGCACAAAATCTAACCTTAGTATTAAAGCGATTTAAAGGTTTGACTGAGGTCTTGCTTGTGCCAAAGCCACTCTTATTTGACTGGCTCTGTGCGCTTGATCACCCAGAATTTATATTCAGCCTATGGTTATTGAAATCAAATCAAATCAGGAGTTGGTTATTTCGAGTGCAGCTGTGCACAAAACTTATTAATAGCTTAGATTGGCAAATCAAAGAGAGGACTTAGTGAGGTATACGGAGTAAGGGTGAATAAACCCAAGATTACAAAGTTCACAGCGCATTTCTTTGTGGAAATGTTCACATGGAATTTTAGCATGAATTTACCAGCTGTTGTTTATCGTTAATAGAATGATAAATAGTACAACAGATGGTAGCTAAATGTGTTTGGTACACGTGAGATAAGCGAGTTAGTGTGCCTTAATCTAATTGATATTCTGAAAACACCCATCTCTAGACACCCCTTCACTTGGTACCTTCAAACCACTTGTGCACAAAGCAATCATAAACGTGGGTTTTTAGATTCTCTAAGGCTGCTATGAATATGCACAAAAGTAGACAGAGCCCGTCTTWAGCCTGTCTTGATTTTTTACCTATTAGGCTTGCGCTTCGATTGATTTTGGGGYTTCTTAGGCTTGTCCAGAAAGGGCCTTTTGTGTTTTGATTTTTACCRTGCAGTTGACGTCGTTTTATAGCGTCTCCCGTTGTTGTTCTACTCTTTTTTCGCTTGTGAAAATTCGAAGTCAACGCGGCATGTTGATGGCTAGTGCAAGTAGAACAGCTCTGTGATAGGTATACGGGTAGGGTATTGACCATATAATCCGTACGCTTTTATTGGAATTTTCTGAATACTAGAGGCAACAAAATGAACACMAGCCCAAAATTCCCACAAAATCTGCTCAACACCTTCTCATGATCTACGCTCCTAAAAACTAAACGCTAAAATAGTGTGCTAGTGTAAATCAAGTAATTCATTAATTTCTGTAAAAAAATCCTTGAAGTTTGAAGTCCGCGCAACAACGCAAGTTGATTACCATGACATAGCAAAGTGTTCAATTATCACATCTTGATTGTCTTTATTAATTACTTCATTCGCAAGATGTCTTCTAATGACCTAAAATGAAAAAGAACTCTCCAAGTTTCTACCACGATTAGTGGAATATTAAGACTCGTTTGACTCCAAGGAAGGACCAGAAGACATGAGTGTATATATATTTTATTCCTATTGGGTCATTAGTGGCTTAAACACCTCTCATAAATTATACAGACCCCCTATTGATCGAGATAGCAATCTACTTAACAGAATACCCGCTTGTAGCCTTTTCAAGAAAAGCAGGAAATTTTCTTTTCACAACAAATGCTACAAGTTAAGAATAGATAGTTATCCTTTTTTAGGCACTTTAGATGTGGGATCTAGAAATATCAAGAGGCGGGTTGGTCATTGACAAAAAAGAAGATAAATGAATGATGCAATAGCTTTAAATCCTGATCAGTTAAACTGGAATAGAATCGCTGATGTACAGATTGGTTTCATTGTAGTTSATTTGTTTACTGTAGGTGCTTATGAAACGAGAATGTAAAATTGCTTCAATTTTGAGTGTGTGGATGGAAACTTTTTGTTTGACTCAAAACTGACTCTAATTAACCAAGCGATAGATACAGAAAACCAACTAATGACTTTCTATTTATTTATTTATCTTGAAACAATCTAATGGCCTTGAGGAGTGCCTAGTTTTGCGGCCACCGCTGTTTCTCCTGTCTTAATTGGTTTTTGGTCTCGTAAATCATGACCTTGCAAATAGATCAAGCTTTGATTGCTCAAAACTCGTTAACACAAATCATGCTGCAATCTTACTTTACCGGAAATTACACAGCAATGGCCCTGCGGATGATTAGTATRTTGATAAACTGATCTACTTCAAACTGGACGTGTGTCATCGGGGTATAGCGATTCTAGCTACATCCTATGACGCAGGAGAAATATTAAACAACTGAATGCCGACGTTAATACCAACATTAACTGATGACTACTTCAATTTTTATCCTTTTTTATTTTAAAATGTAATTTGTTTTTTCGCCTGTGTGGCGTGAGATCAATTACAAGCATCAATTAACGCGGAAATAGAGTCGTTTTTTCCTGACTCTTTGTAAGACAGCCAGTTATYTATTCATCTTTTTTTCTAGATTTAGATTCACTGAGATTATAGTTGAGTTTACTTGAGTTCGATTAACTTGTTTAGAATAGAAGGCTTTGTTTTGTGAAATCGTGTTGGAAATCCCCAGAGACCTCAAGGACTTCGTATCATCTACTTGAATAGGTGCTTGAAGCTGCTACCGAGTTGTCATTTTCGAACAAAAGTGAACGATGATCATGTGCGCATGTGCACACAGCTCAAGGCTCCAGCAGCGCCTAATAGACCGATATTATTATACTGTCTTAGTTAGTGCTAATGACTACATCGAAAGTGGTCCAAAAAGACAAATGTGTGATAAATAAACATCATTTGCGACCATTTTTCTTGCTGAATTAACCTCTTAAAAATAGTAACTGTTGAATAGTACACAGTTCCAATATCAAACTATTCATAACCAGACAACACATGAATAATTTGATAAGATTACCAAAAGATATTGTCTTGTGTGGCTTCACCGCGAGAGCAAATGGGCCAGGATTTTCTAATTCTTGAAAATATTTAGCGAAAAGCGCAGTTAAGCTCACAGAATTAGAAGATATGCTTAATACAAGTGAAATTGAATCTAGCCGCGAGCAGAGCAACGATAAGCATGATCAGTTTGACTTAATTTTCAGAGTATATCCTCTCTTAATTCAACATGAAGACCAGCCAAATTGTTCGACGTTTAAACGAGTTTTCGACATATTTGAGTTATCTTATACGTTCCCTTGTGAAATAGGTGTCTTTGTTGATTCATTGGTGGAAATCTGTCACATCCTTGGCGTTGTAATACGGAAATAGTCTGTTTTAATTAACTTGATCCTCTCCGAGTTTTTATAAGTTAGGAAGCTCTCCCGATACATTGAAAGGCGTTTTAAAAAAGCAATTTAGACTTAATACAACGGCTATTTCCGGCTATTGAGAAAAAGGAAAATATCTGTTTTGTTATTAAATTGCTTTAGTCCTTAGGCTTGCCGACCCTTGTAACTCGGCAATGAAAAAAAATCCTCTTCAAAACGATTTTACGAAAAAATAATTGATCTTTCTCTACAGCCTGTAAACAAAGTATCCAATATTTTTTCGTACTAAACTAATAATTTGCAAAGTCAGAACAATAGGATTTAAAATATAGATTAAACATGAAACTTTCTTCAAATATAGTTGAAAACAGTTATTATTGAATTTATTTTTTCCTTTGGGTAATTAACGTCCTTTAATAACCCATCAACACCSTGTCAATAGCAGTCGGAAAATGAGTTTTAGGATAATTCATTTGCCTCGCATTTATTGTTTGTCTTTGAATTGTAATTTACGATGAGAACTTTAAAATAAGTATTGTTTAATGAAGTAAAATTAAAGGCGAATTCGACGTAGCCACAACTGAAGCAAATTTAAGAATTTTCTTCTCTGATCAACACGATTTTTTTTCACACAATACTTAATAATTTCGCTCGACTTTTTTTTCAGTTGTAAACGTCATCTTAAGGAATATTGAATTAAAGTCATTAAGTTAAGATGAAATGAGCTAAATYAAATAGATAGAAGGATATTTATACTGAATCCCCAGTAACAGGTGATATTTTATAGAAAATGGATTTTATGAGTACAGGTTAGCTACATCAAGTCTAACCAAAATCTGAATATGATTTTGATACTTCTTAAGAAATTATTTCAAACATTCAGTTCTTTGTAAGCCAAACAAAGGAAACTTGACATATTGAGGCGTCTGTTTGTATGTTTTTTGAATATAGTGAAGCATTAAAAATGATAGGATTGTATAAAGTATATTGAACGAGTTTTCTTTCCCAAAGAACCCTGGAAAATCCCACTGCAAGGACAACTATCTATTATTAATCCTAAATCAATTCCAAGATCTTTTTTTTCGCTTTTCTTTGCGACGTAAATTTTCTTGAAACTCAGACAAATTAGTAAGTTTTTTGTTCATCACGTTTTGATATTGTTTTTAAAACTGCTCAAAAGAACAACAGTCTTTGCCCTCGGCTTATTTGTTCTATTCATTACCTTTTTGTCTTTTTTCTTTTCAACATATATAACGTGAAGCAGACAAAATTTCACCTAATACCACCATGATATTTTGAATTTTTAATATTTACATTTAAAAAATTAAGCATCATAATTTTTCTCGCTAGGTTTAGAATGTTGAATTTATTTCTTCTCACCAAGAATGATTCTTTTATTACTGATATGAATAAAGGTGTAAATAGATTCAAGCGCAGGTTTGCAACAACTGAGTTTTGATATTTTGGGGGAAGGTTACTTTTTTAAGGACCGACTTCCTTTGATACTGTTTTACTAAATCGAATGGATCCGGACTCCACTGTGACTTTTTGTTATTAAAGAGACAAAAACCTTGATATATACGATCTCTTACACTAGACTTCAAAGAAAGAATTTTCATTGTTTGAGAAATAGAAAATTCAGAACGTAGCGGGAACAAAAAGAAATGAAAGTCCGCAAAACAACACCTCTGCAGGTCGATGAGTGTGATYGTAGTGCTTTAGGGATGATATTGTATTTACACCTGGAGTCAGTCTTGGTTGTTATTCACCACTGAGTTTGCTGGGGATTTTAGGAAGACAAGGAAGAAGACGAAGAAGTATAGTAGTCGAAAAAGTAGAACAAGCTAAGATGGAAAAGAAGAAG